CAGTTGGGCCAAGAACCTCCTAAAGGGGACACAAACCCCAAATCAGCTGGAGGGCTCCAAGCCAGGTGAGGAGGACCCCATAGGCATCTCCTGCCCTCAAGCATCATCACAAGGAGCCCTGGAGACACCATTTGGACCTCCTGCCCCCTCCTTGTGTCTCAATGCAGCCTCATGATGGGACAACAGCTTCATTAGACTAATTAAGCTGCCCTCCCTTCTCGGGGTCCGGCCCGGAGCACGGAGGGTCAGCAAGGCCAACATCCCACCACGGGAAGCTGTGGAGAGCAGGGGAACAGCTAAACGTCCCTTTGTACCAGCAGGTCCTTGGCCACCACCCACCCCTGGCAGAGGAAGGACATCGCCCCGCAGGGGCAGCCTGGGAGGAAAACTGGCAGAAACAGGAAAAAATGCCTAATTTCACAGATGGTGAAGTGAAGGGAAGCAGGAAAATAAGCGTCCTATAGGTGACCACGTATCTGAGGGCCCAGCTGTCCACTCTGAGAACCTTCTGGGTCTTGGACCCCGAGCTGCTGCTCCCTGTGGAGAACATGGCCCAGCTCCAGCCCACCCATGGCAGGAGAGCGAGGGCAGGAACACCCAGGGCAAGGGGAGGAGGGGACGTGGCTGTGGGTCCCCATCATGGGACACCTCACAGAGGTGTTCTGAGAGCCAGAGTCCTGAGGTGGCTTTGCCCACACCATCTTCACCACCCTCAGAAATTTGGGGCTGGCCACCAACACATCCCTGCTCCCTGGGAAGGATTTTCTTGGCAGACCCAGCTCCATCCCAATTCCACCAGTTGCCAGGTCCCTCACTCAAGCCCAGAGCCACTGGAACTGCTTCCTGTCCCTTCTTGTCTCCTGAGCTTCCTCTCCTCTGGATTTGCTCCCCACCTGGAGATTAGGTCCATGGGTTGGTGGATCCACCAGCACAGAGCAGCAGGGACCAGGCTTAGGGATGGCTGTAATCCACAACCCTTGGGCTGGGCTTAAATAGAATTCCTGGGAGTGGGTGGGGGGTCCCAGGTGGGGCTGGTCAGGACAATTAGGGTTTATTAATGACCTCAGGAGCCTCAGGATGTTCTCTTGCTCTTTGTGCTGCAGCTTTGCAGAGTTGTCCTATAAAAGGGTTGGTTTGTTGGGGTTTTTTTCCTCCCTGTTTTCTTTTAGTGCTCAAAAAGATTATTATCTTGAGCTCTGCTGTTCTCCATTTATGGTGGAGATGAGGGGCTTCTCTTGATGGCTTTGTTCAGCTGGGAGCTGGTGTGACTGTAGGATGTTCCTGGGGTTCTCCTGGCATCTCAGGACAGCCCTTGTGCCCCTGGAGCTTCATTCTCTGGGGGCTGGTGCTACCCTAGGATGTTCCTGGGGTTCTTCTGGCATCTCAGGATGGCCTCAGCACCCCTGGGAGCCTGGAGCTGCATCTTCTGGGGGTTGGTACCACCCTAGGATGCTCCTGGGGTTCCTCTGGCATCTCAGGATGGCCCCAGCACCCTTGGGAGCCTGGAACTTCATATTCCAGGGGTTGGTGCCACTATAGGATGCTTCTGGGGTTCCTCTGGGAGCCTTGGGCTGCATCCTCTGGGGACTGGTGCCACACTAGGATGTTCCTGGTGTTCCTCTGGGAGCTTGAAGCTGCATCTTCTGAGGGTTGGTGCCACACTAGGATGTTCCTGGGGTTCCTCTGATTTCTCAGGATGGCCCCAGCACCCTTGGGAGCCTGGAAGTGCATCTTCCAGGGGTTGGTGCCACTATAGGATGCTTCTGGGGTTCCTCTAGGAGCCTCGGGCTGCATCCTCTGGGGACTGGTGCCACACTAGGATGTTCCTGAGGTTCCCCTGGTATCTCAGGATGGCCCCAGCACCCCTGGGAGCCTGGAGCTGCTCCCAGGAAGCAGCAGCTCCCAGACCCTACTTCGGACCGGGTCAGGGGGTCCTTCTGTGCTCCCCCCCGGGGCTGCCATCAGCCTGGGCACCATCCTTCCACCGGGTGCAACGTGATGAGTGGCTGAGACCTGAGCCGGGCCGATGTGACGCAGAGATGGACGGCGGCACCGACACTTTGTCCCTTGTATCGGATGCTTGGACTTTCCGAGCGGCTCCAGGCAGGGCCACCTGGGATGAAAGCAAATATAGAGAGGGCAGGTGGAGGACAGGGGCTCGGGTTTCTCCTCCCGATAGGAATATGTTTCTGGGGGGGTTATCTCCCCCTTTCCCCAGCCTTGGTGGGGGGCACGGTCACCTCTGGCTCCGTGCTGTCCCCCCCTCTCTGTCCTTGTCACTCAACCATCCTCTCTCTTGGCTCCTCTGCTGAAGGGCCCTTCCAAGCCCACACCTCCTGTGGGGTCGGGGACAGGTGAGAGGGTCCCCCCGGAATGGGGAGCCCCCCCTCAGATGACACCCCACCCTGTGCTGGCAGCCCCCGGCCCTGGGACATGGGATGCTCAAAGAGAAACCATAAAGGGAAAATGGGGAAAAAAAAAAAAAAGCCCAGTCCAACCCAGTATTCCTAATTTTTTTTTTTTTTTACTTCCATTCCTGCTTTTACCATCTGCCTCTTCTCCATTTTAAATGACTCCCCATCCTCTTTTTTCCCCAAATTCCCCCACGGCTGGGGCTGGCTCTGCTTTTGTCCCCCCCAACCTTCCTGGCTCCATCCTCCCTCTCCTCATTTCAGCTCTTTCCTTTCGCCTGGAACGACCGATCCACTCTGTTGTCCTCCAACAAATAAGCTGACAGGCTAATGAATGGCTTCAGATGGTAATTAGCAATGGAGTTGCTAATAATGAATTCCATTTACATTTTAAGCGCTGCAGAGGAAAAGCGAGACCCTGTCATTAATGCCCCCCCCCTCCCCCCCCTTTGCATTTTTGGGGGACGCACACCTTTTTGAGGGACGTGGAAAAGCTTGGCCGTGATTGCGCCTCGTCTGCCTCCATTTCCGAGGCTGCAATAAGGGAGGGAGGGAGGAGCTGCCTTCGCTTCCAGCATCTGATGGGGCAAGGAAGGCTCCCCAACACCACAAAAAAATGGGGCACGGGAGGCAGGAACTGGTCCTGGTCCAGGAAAAAGGAGGGCTTGGATGGTCCACCCAAGTGCCAGGGATTCTTCTGGCTGGAGCTGGGCACCAAGGACGTCGCCAGCCCTGGGTGCACCGAGGACGTCGCCAGCCCTGGGTGGCCCCATCGCCCTGCCAGCACCTGAATAACTGCTCCAATGGATCCCGGCGCTCCCTCGACCACACAACGCTCTGGGAATGGTTGATAAAACCCAATCCTGATTATTTTCCTAGGGTTTTAGCATCTCTTGAAGGCAGTTGTTTCCACGAGAGGCTTAATCCATCCCTGCCCACCCGAGGATGGAGCTGAGAGGGTGCCACACGCGGCCATCGAGTGGAAAGTGAGGGGAAATGGCAATTATTTTTGTCTTGTAGGAGTGAGGGATTCATGGTGGAAACACAGGGACCAAGCACGCTCGCTCCCACAGAGCTTGGGGTGGGACCTGGGAGATGCTGGAAGCCTGACTCCAGCACCAGGGGTGACCTGGGACCATGGGGGTGACCTGGGACCGCGGCGTTGCCCTGCCTCAGTTTCCCCTTCTCTGCCCGAGGGGCCTCGTGGGGGTCTCAGCTCCACCAGGAAACGATGCTCTCCATCCCCTGGAGGTGACTCATGGGGGGACCATCCCATCCCACGCCATCACCATCCTTCTCCCCACATCTGGTGGGGACCCGACCCACCCCTGGTCGGGTCAGGGGGTGTCCCACACCCACCCACCCCCAATTCCGGGTGCTGGTCCCCCTAGAAAGCTGCTTTGGGGACCCCAAGGGTTGACCCCCAGCCCCATCCTGTTTTCACCTCCGCGGGCGTGGGGTCGATTGATTTATTTATGTATTTTTTTCATGCCCTGCCGGGAGTGAAAACAATCCAGGGGCCCTCAGAGGCCGATAAGATTTGGCTGCAAGTCAACACTCGCCGTGTCTTTCCACTGTGCAATGATCCCCTCCAACCCCCCCACCAAGGGCCAGCGGGGCGGGCAGGGGACAGGCAGGTGACACAGGGGCAGGCAGAGGGCTGGCCTGGGGCAGGGACGTCGCCTCTGCCCCCGGGGAAGAGATTTGGGGGCAGAAAAGGGGAGATTTGTTCCGCCCTGCGAAATCCCCCTGGATTTGTTCCGCCCTGCGATAGGTATTTCTGTGGGGTGACCCCACGGGGGGCAGCTCCGTGGTGGGGTGTGGAGATGAGAGAGAGAGGGGGTCTGGGGAGAAGGGGGGATGGGGAAGGAGGAGGAGGAGGAGGAAGAAGTCACCCGTGAAAACCATCTCTGTTGTCACATCTGCTCCTCGGGGCTCTGGGGACAGAGAGAGCTTTTCCTGCGGGCTGAGGTTGTGGGGTATCGGGGGGGGGAAAGAGGGGGGGAGCAGAGCCCTGGCACGCTCAGTGCATGCCCCGGGCACAGCCGCGGTGCCATCTGTCAGGATTTCTGCTGCCCGTGGGTCCCAGGAGCTTCTCTGATGTCTACTAAGGGTTGGGCTGAGGCTGATGGCATCTCTGTGCCATCCCCGGGTTTTCTTATTCCCTCTGGGCATGTGGGCAGGGATGCTCCAGGGATGCTGCTGGGGATGCAGGCAGGGATGCTGCCAGGGATGCTGCCAGGCTGGTTCCCCACACTCTGCTGACATTGGCACTTGGGACTCGGGCGTCCTTGAGCGGAGCAAGCGCCGGGAGAAGGGACCAGGTTCTCTTTAAGGGGCAGGACTCCGAGAGCATCATGAAAGCAAGAGTGAGCTTCTTTCCCTCTGCCTTCTACCATCCCCTCCTTCCCTGCCCGCTCCTTTCCCCCGCTGGGCAGGGAGGGTGACGGGCAGGAGCTGGGTGCTGGGATGGGGGGCTGAGCCAGGGGAGGAGGAGGAGGAGGAGGAGGAGGAGGAGGGGAGGGAGAAGGGGAGGATCTGCTAATTACACAGAAGAGCTCTGGGGGCTGCCGAAGTCCAGAATGAAGAGAAGAGCAGCAGAAGCCAGTGCTGCAGCGAGAGCGGAGGAGCCTGAGCGTCACCCAGAGACAGGAGACTGTCGCTGTCCCCACCCGGGGGCACCCAGGGGGTCCTGCAGCCCTGTGTCCCCCCCCTGGGGACAGCCTCCAGCACAGCCACCAAGCCCTCTGCAGCCAGCCCTGGGTGAAGAGAGGGGAAGGAGTTGGTGGTCCCGAGGACACAGGGGACACAGAGCCAATCCTGCCATGGTCCCAGGGGGCTAGGACACCCCCCCAAAATCCCTGGGGAAGGGGTGAAGGATGGCCACCGAAGGAGGGGGAGCCAAGCCCGTCGCCCAGTCTGGGATGGAGAACTTCCGAAAGGTGAGGACCTCGGAGGAGGAGAGCCCTTTGCCCTTCCCCGACCTGCCCCCGGACGTGGTGGAGATGAAAGTGAAGGAGGGCAGCAAGATCAGGAACCTGATGAACTTCGCCATGGCCCAGATGGAGCTGAAGGGCCGGCGGCAGATCGTCTTCAGCGGCTGCGGCAGGGCGGTCACCAAGACCATCACCTGCGTGGAGATCATGAAGCGCAAGCTGGGAGGGCTTCACCAGGTCACCAAGGTACGCTACAAAACCCTGCTGGAGGTCTGGGAGAACCAAGACCCGCTGCCCGGTGGCCCGGCGCAGAACCTGACCGTCCATAAGAACGTCCCCTCCATCTGCATCCTCCTCTCCCGAGACCCCCTGGACCCCAACCAAACGGGCTATCAGCCCCCCGAGCCCCAGCACGGGCCACAGCTTGGTGATGCAGGAGAAGACACGTCCAGCTCTTCCACCAAGGGGCTGAAGCGGTCCTTGCCACCTCCCGGCGAGGAGCTGCTGACCAAGAAGTTGCAGGTACAGGTAGCCGAGAGCCCAAGGGACTCGGGGACCTCTGACCACCAGCCAGATGGCCACCACTGATCCCCCCCCACCTCCTAAACTGGGAGGAGATTGTACGCTGGAGAGATTTGGGGGGGGTTTAAGTCATTTTGCTGTGGATAATGCAGTGCTGGGCTTGCTGTGGGGTCACCAATGTGCTGCAGGCTCCCCCCGGCACAGGGGACCCCCATGGATGGGGGTCCTTGTCCCCAGATTAAAGGGTTAAACCAGCCAGCATTGGGTTATGGACTGAATTTCGGGGGGGAAGATGCATTGGGGGGAGCCGTTCACCCCACATTCGGCCACTCAGGGGTGATTCCACCATCAGCCCCACATCTGCAGTGACCCCCATGGACCAAGGGGAAGGTAGGTCCCCAGCGCCAAGTCTCAGCCACCAGGAGGGACGCTTTTGCCCCCACTTAACACCTTCATTAATCAAACCCGCTGACAATTGCCGCTGTGATTCTCCCAGAATCGAACGCACAAACGAGGGGACGGGTCGCTCCCTCTAATTTGTATTAGAAAAAGACAAAAATACGAGAGCCTTCCTCTTTCCACAGCAGATATTCCGGGTTGGGCTCCCCCCCAGAGCGGTGGGAAGGGTCTGGAGCTGGGGAGGGGGAGCGGTGGGAGGGCTGTCATTGTTGAGGGGTATTAGTTGTTTAGTGTAAATAAGTAAGTTTTAATTAGAATAAATTATTTAGAGTTATAATACAGGGGGTCGGGGGGGGTGTTATGCTGTTTGCTTAGCTTTACTTAACAGAGTAGCTAAATTTGCTGAAGCTTTTAGGCTGTGATAGTTATTTTTCTCGGTAATTTTCCTACCGGCTGGTGTGGGGCTGCATTTAGTCTTTTAGTGGTTTGATGTCACA